ATAGCCAATTCGAGTACTTACCGCAGCAAGACAAATCTCTAAACCACCTTAGCACTAATCTTCATGTAGACCGAGTTCAAGACACCCCGTCTAAAATTCTTTAAAAAGAATAGATTCATACACAAAAAAGGTCAAAAGGGCTAACACCAGTTTGTGTGTAAAATTATGTGTAGTGCTAAATCAACGAGGTTTAAATTTGTTTAATTTTTCTTTATTTCTTTGGCCAGATTTTCCACACGACCAATAAGATATACAACATATTTCTTCAAATTACTATGTTTTTGGACGGGTTCTTGGATAATTAGTTTCTTCATCCTACCTACGTAGGAACTTAGCCACAACTCACTCATTTTTCTAGCCCCTGAAAATTCTCTGTGAGCCAAAATCTTTCATCACTCAATTTTATTTTTTCTTTTAGTTTCTCTGACCTCGTAATAAGTGTTTTCTCTAATGTTCTTTCAAGATCAGCTGGATCTTTTGTAGTGGCCATAGTGGATCCTAAAATCGACAAGTAAGGATTCAAGAACAAACTATGTGCATTCCTCTAACATGGCAATACACACTCGCACATTTTATGTGTCTTAAGAGACCATGATTAATCATTGTCAGTGATTAAGAGCATATATTTACTCTGTGCAAGCAAATTTTTTATTTCTATTTTTTTCTTTCGCTTTAGTTTGGTTTATCGTCCCTTCTAATTCACTTTCTTTGTTCGAGTCTTCTCTCTACATATGTAGGTGTATAAGTTTGTTGGATTCTGTTCAATTAGTTCAATATTTTTTTTTTTTTGATTTTTCAGATTTCATGGAACACTATAAATTGCACATTTTGAATTGAACTCTAGAACGCTTAGGATTATCATGAAGCCACAAGGAGCAAAAGCAACTATATGTCCCCTAACACATTGTAATTTACATGGTTGGCGACTACATGAAAGTGTACCTTTAATGTTAGTGCCGATGGAAAAAATGGTGGTGTAAAGTAGATTTTGTTAATAATCATCACAAAATAGGGCTCATTTCGGCCATTATAAACATTCATTGATTGCAAATTGAGGAAATATAAAAAAAATAGCTCAAAATTTGAATATGGTTTAGGAAAATAAATTGCATTAGCTATGTCCCTTTAATGAGATAACTTCCTTTGATCCTATTCATATATCATCAAAATTAGGGTGTAATCTTTGCTTATTGATGAATATAAATATCTACTCTCCTAATCTATAAATAAAAAATTTATTCATAAAAAAATTTATTTCCTCTTCATAATTACACGAATGACTCACATGTATTATGTATATTACCCAAAATAAGAGGATCTATTGCTACATCAACTTCATAATTATATAATAAAGTGTATTAAAGACCATTAGATACCTAATAGATACTTGAATTTAGAATCGACAATTATAATTTTAGGGAACAAAATAAAATATAATCTATATACACATGTGAACCATCAATATAAAAGTATATACAAAAACATATATAAAAAATAAACATTAAAATTATAGTTTAAAACTATTCACGTACAACGTACTTGTGCAACAACTAATAATGAAAATCTAATAATACCAAATGTTTATTTTCTTAGGTTTTTTTCTTATTGCATTAATCTTTTTATCTTACTTGAAACTTTCTCTAATAATTGGGTTACAGATTGGAAAACAGAAGAACAAGACGACACCATCACCGCTCATCCTCGCTGGTAGCAGAATCAATTAGTCAGTGGAAAACTGCTCAAAGAACGATGCTCGATTGCACTCTCTATTTCAAGGCATATGTGATGAAGCACTACATTTCAGTTTCAGATCTTTGAATTATATATGTGTATGTGCGCGCACGGTTGAGCATGTATATATGCATTATATTTTTTGTTTATGCCTTGAATCAATGATGATCAAAACCATAAACCCCACCACTCTTGTAATTCACGTCTATCTCTCTTTACAGTCCACTATGTTTGTATCCATCAACTTCTACATTTATCTCTCTCTCTTTGGCAGTGACGTCTATAGATATAGAGAAAATTGGGTGGATGGACAAACTCACCGTCAAGACGAGCCTCCCTTAAAAGTCTACATTCTACAATAATCCTATAAAATTAAGCTTTCTTGAATGACTATGCTTCCAATAAAATCTGTTTACGTTCTAAACTTCATGAAATTGAACATTGATCTTTATTCTCTAACTTAGAGTCAATGTCTCTGTTCTATTTTTTCCTTTATTTTGAATTATTATTAGTTTTCATTAACTCTTATTTGTAATTCTCTTCTATATGATATCATAGTGGGGAAACACTAATTATACAGACACTTTTTCACTCTCTCGGTCTTGACTTTTTGGTAGACATTTCCTATACCATATTTATTTTCTTTAATCTTTTTCCCCTCTATTTGAGATCTTTGATGATTCATATATTTGTTTTAGTTTTCAATATGTTCAAACTTCAGCTTTGTATTGTTAAAACCAATGATTTTATCAATTGCTCATCTAAATTATCCATATTTTTTTGGCACATCTATACAAATAAGGTGTATGAAAATTATTCGGATTTTATGGGGTGGGAATTTTAACAATGGTTTTAGGTATTTATTGTTTGGGGTGGGAATTTATCAATCTTTCCTATGAACTATTGCATACTCTAGGTAGTGTTTTAGTATATGTTTTTTTTGTTTTGGCTTTTGCCTCTATGATTTTAAGAATAAGGGATTCAAAATTAGACCCTCTTGATGTTTTTTATATTTTTGGAAAATTGATCTTTGTGAGATTCTTGTTTTAATTGATATGTCTGTCTCTATTTAATAAAATCTCAGTTTCTTAGTTTTTTGGTATCTACATGAGTTACATTACTTGTTTTCCTTCTTCTTCCCTTTCTTTTTGGGTTTCTTTCTGCAAATTTGATCTACTGGCAAATTTATTGACATGTATATTTTTTTTTTCCCTGAAAAAAAAAGAGAGATGCTCTTCATTTTGTTTTTATTACTTCTTGGGGAATTTATCGCTAAGCATCTTTTGCATTTTTTTAAGATCATATTTTGATTTGTGCCATAAGGCCCATAACAATATGTCCATTTTGCTTTTTTCCTTTCTATCTTGATAAAAAAAAAGCTAAAATTCCCACAACTATCTTAATGGTTTGTCTTTATCACTTTCATCTTTTTTTTTTTCATAAAGTATCCCAAAATTTATATAGCTTATTACTTTCATGGCGGTTATAGGATCAATACTTTCCTTGATGGAAAAAAAATTCAACACTTGAAAGTTTTGATTTTAGAGTGGAGGGACAATGCGGGTTAGTGATTCACTTTGGAAAAAATGATTTGTAGGAATTTTAGTATTATTCAAAAAAAAAAAAAGGGAAGTGACCTAACATTATGTGATAACATGTGACTCCTAATAGATTATCTTGATCTTTAGGCCTGCCCTTGGAATAGAAAACAAGAGAATATTGTATTCAATTACAAAAATAAAATTAAGTTTTAGGGCTGATATGGTGTGTTGGTTTTTTGTTGATGCTTTGCTGAACATAATTGGCTATCATTTTTCAGATGTCTAGGCTCTATGATTTTCAAATGTTTAGGGCAAATGTTTTATTCTAGATTGTGCACAGCTTTTCTTATGAAATTTGAAGTCTATGCAGGATTGTAATCCATAAAAAGACTGATGATTTATTTTAGTAGAGATATATAAACAAAAGTTTGTGTAGTCAAGACTTTCATTTAAAAGGTAAGGGCAAAATAATATTACCAATGAAGGTAGATTTTGTCATGAAATGTCAAGCTCATTGCCATTGCTGGAAGTGATTGATACTGTCGGGCCCGGTTCTGGAAAGACTCGGGAGCATTCCTTGAATTGGTTCATGTCGGTTCTTCCAAGTCATGTAGTGAAAATTAATGTTTTTTATTTAAATTTGATAGTCATTTCTTTATTCTTTTACCTTATTTTCCGAAGGGCACCACTTCGAATACCTTTAACTTTGTCCTTTTAATTTTACTTTCTAAATTTGGTAGTTCAGCTCATGGACATTATTAATGTAAGGCACACATGGATTTATGCTAATACTCTATATATGAGAAAACGATTGAATACGCTTGTAAGAGAATATGTAAATGCTAAAGCGTATAAGGTCGTCTTTGCTTAAGACTTAGAGGTATGGAATTCACACATGGTACAAAATAAAAGCAATTCATACCCAAATTATAATTCAAAATGATTCAAATATCAAGAAATTTAAAAAAAAATTATTTCCAATTTTATCTTTAATTAATATAATAGAGTCAACCATATGCTCTTATATCTTGAGATCTTACTTTAGAATATTAATAAATTATCTAAACAACGATGAAAATAAATTGTTGGGAGAGTTTAAAAAATAACAAATTTAGCAGAGATAAGGACATAGTTGTTCAAAATAGATGGCCAAAATTTACTAACTACACAGCCTCAATAAAAGAAGTCACAATACTCTATTTTAAAATGTATATAATTTAGAATTATGTTATTGTTTTGACAATCATACGATTATAAAAATAAACAAAAATTCAATCTGGTGTATTTGACAAACATTGGAAATCAACTATCAAAATATAGATCTGTTTTGCAAAGGGCAACACATCTACGAAGTATTGACCAGGAAAATGTAGAGTGAGTTTTTTTTTAATTATGAAAAATAGTCAGAGAATATTCAAAAATATTAAAAGTCAATCAAGAAAAAAAATACAAGGATTTTATAAAATGAAGACTCCCGTGAGATCAATTCTATAAAAATGATACACGTGTAACGCACGTGTGCATCAACTAGTGAAAGTAAATATCTTCATCTGTCAAAATGATAACTCTCATTCCGTGATGTTGCTCAGATTTATAAGCGCATATCATTTCCAGACCAAAACAGCGAGAAAAAAAAAAATCAAACACCCACAAAGCTAATATTCTAGAAAATCACAAAAATGAAAATATAAATTTACGTATGCATACCCAAACAAATCAAACATATACCTGAAATGTTAGGCTAAAGGGGTTCTTAAACCCGCGTTTAGGCAACCGGCGACGAAGCGGAGTCTGACCGCCTTCAAACCCAAACTTCATAGTCCCCCTAGCTTTCTAACCCTTGTGACCCCTCCCAGCAGTCTTGCCCTTCCCTGACCCAATTCCACAACCCTTCCTAGTCTTCTGCTTTCTGGCTCCCTTATTATCTCTCAGATCATTCAAGCTCAAAAGACTATAAGCCCTAATGCTTTGAGACCCAAACAATCCATTCAACATAGAGCCAGCATTAGGGCATTGTCCGCAATATAACGATGAGAATTGTTGAGATGATGAAATGGGTAAGAGTATTGAGTTCGGTTTGGTGTAGATTGAAGCATTGCACATTGAAGCATTACGTATTGAAGCTGATAACAAATAAGATAGTTGTCTTCTTAACATTTCTTGTGCGTGCGTGTCTGAACGGGCTTTTGATTTCTGGCTTTGGGAATTTTCAATCAAATTGAAAACGAGTGAATCTGAGCAGTCGTCTGAGTGTCGCCTGAGCACAAACCGCTGTACCAACAAAAAGAAAAAAGCAATTTAAACCTGTACTAACAAATTTTGTACTGCAGAAAGTTTTGCCAATGATCAATTCAAGTGGTGAAGCTTCAACAAGTCCAATGATCAACCCGTGTTCAATTCAAGTTCTTTGCCATTTAGACTTGCTCATATAATTTTCTAATATAAGCTTTTGTTTAGTTCATATAATTAGTGGTGGTGACTGGTGAGCGATGTGCTAGAGGATGGAAAGGTGAGAGCGAGGCAGAGATATGAAAATTGCAATACTAAAATGAATTTAGGGTTAGGGTCAGGGATCCAAGCATTTACATATTGCCGGGTTATTTAGGTTAAAAATGGGTTACACGCATAGTTTTAAAACCCGGCCTGGACATCAACCCGGTGAAGGGACCGGGTCAATGAGTCACTAGTTGAATCGGTAATATAATAAAAAATAAAAAATAAAAAAATAATTATAAATCTATACTACTTATAAATGTCAGCATGTGTGAAAAACTTTTGATTTCCTATTTCACCGTTAATTACCCACATATTTTCCTATCTTTCATACTTACTTGACTTCCAAAATATTAGCTTGATAAATTTTATCTCTATGATTTGGTTGATAAACTTTATCAAAATATTACCTAGATAAACTTTATCAAAATATTAGCTATATAAACTTTATCTCTATAACTTGATAGATAAACTTTATCTTTATGACAATACATTCTTTCTTTTTCATTCAATTGTACAAACTCTACTAGAATTCTAATACCACATATTAGTAATTTTTAGGTGATACATATACATATATTTTTTTGTCTTTCCTACTTATTAGACTTTTAAAATATTTTAAATTCCTTCATATATATATATATATATATATATATATATATATATATATATATATATATCTATATATATAAATTTTATCTCTATGACAATACATTCCTTCTTTTCCATTCAATTGTACAAACTCTACTAAAATTCTAATACCACATATTGGTAATTTTTAAGTGATACATACGCATATTTTTTTTTTCTTTCCTACTTATTAGAGTACTTCTAAAATACTTTGAATTCCTTCATATATATATATATATATATATATAACTAAATAGAATTCTAATACCACATGGGATTAAACTTTCCAGAAAAGTTATCGAACAAGTTTTTTCTTCCATTCACGTTAGAGTTAGAAGTTGGCATGCCATAGTCATTTATTTGAAGTCCTATGGTCTCATGCTCTTCTGTGACAAACTCAATGAACTCAAAGTTGGAGTTTTCGACATAATTGAGGTTAGTTTATTAATTCCTCTGTTTTAGTTTATTAATTCCTATGTTCTGTGCCACTTAATTTTTCTTAATTTAACGTCAAGTAGCATTCTAAGAGATTGGTGTGGCTGGTCAAGAATTCGGTATAATAATTGAAGTTAGTTTATTAATTCTTATGTTTTAATTTATTAAATTGGTGTGACAGGTCGAGTATGCGGCATAATTGAGATTAGTTTATTAATTCCTATGTTTTAGTTTATTAATTCCTATGTTTACATTAAAATTTTCTATGTTAATGTTTCTTTGTTTTATTATAATCACTCATAAATCCAATTTTTCATTACTCATATAGCTAATATTTTGAAAGCTTGTTCAAATCTCCTCTAATATTGACCTAATTATTCTTAATTATTGAATTTATGGTAAATTCCAACATTTATTGAGACTAACAATCAATCCAATAATAAATAAATTAAATCCAACATTTTTTGGGTATTTTTATATGTACCATGTTTTTGAGTATTTTTATAATTTATTGGCTGAAATTTATCAAATTTTGAGGTTAAAAAATTAAGTGTCTTTTTTCTTGGTATTTTAATTATTCACTTACCTTTACAAAAAATAATTCAATTTTATTACTCATCAACTTTGTATTTCAAATAAATTTAATAACAAATTAATGAACTAAATTTTTTTTCATGTGCGGTGCATTGCTAGTAATAATAAATACAATAAAAAATCACAATAATTATAAAAATAACATCAAACATGTAAAGTTAAGTAGATAAAAATCATCAAACATGTGTCCAAAACAATCTTTCCAGCAATTATTGATCATCAGAAAACCCAAATGCCACTCGGTCAGAACCACAAATTTGAACTTTGAAAAGGCATTGCCAATTGCCATGCATATAGGCTCAAAATCAACTCGCTCAGTAGTTAAAGCGTGGAAATCCATGATAATACGAAGCCAAACATAAAAGAAAAACACAAATCACTAGTAGAAACTGCGAAGCTCGGTAGTTTGGATAAAATCAAAAAACATTAGTAGTAGACTAGTAGGTAATTTATACCCACAAAAACTATACCAATGGGTATAATAAGGAGACTTGAAGATTTTATAATTAAAGATCAACTAATCTCCAAAAACCCATTATCATCATCACGTGGGTGGGTCAACCATCACCACCATCCACTGAGCACATGCACAGCAAACTCATATGAGCCGTGGTCAGTCGGCAACCATCCCATATGTACATAATGAAATTTGTAGATTAGGAATGAGCATTTACCGGCAACTTCTTGTGTTGGTGCAGCTGGAGTCGACTGGACTGCCTGCTGGAATCGATGGTCGCTCACTGGACTCTGGACTGGATCGCTGGTGATCGCTGCTGGAGTTGATCGCTGAAGTTGATCGTTGGTTTGTTTTGGTGGTGGATGCTGCTCGTGGATCTGGAACGATTTAGGGCAAACATAAAAAAGAGGGAAAAAAACACAAAATGCCCTAATCATAAAAAAATCAAATATTTATACACAAGATATTAAATCGGCCGATTGGGTAAACTCATCCAATTCTCACGAATTTACTGATTTTTGACTGATTGAACAAATTTATAATGAGTTTGTTATATAAAAGGTGTTTTAATAGATCTGGCCCGATTAAGAGACCGGTTCATTGGGTTGGCCCACCGGCCCGACTGAATTTTAAAACACTGGTTACACGGGTTTGTGTTAACCCAATTAAATAAACGGGTCAATTGAGTCACTTTTGGGTTGATTGAGGTTGAACCCAAACATAATTCATTAATATTTTGTATTGACGGATCGTGTCATATAAAAATTTGTGCAAAAAATATTCAACACAAACCTATTTATTTATGTTGTGTTTGTGTCGAATTATTGTATTGTATTAAAAATTGTTACCCTTGCTCATATGTAATACGTTCCACGTGAATTCACAACCAATTCTCACGAATTTACTGATTTTTGACTGATTGAACAAATTTATAATGAGTTCGTTATATAAAAGGTGTTTTAATAGATCTGGCCCGATTAGGAGACCGGTTCATTGGGTTGGCCCACCGGCCCGACTGAATTTTAAAACACTGGTTACACGGGTTTGTGTTAACCCAATTAAATAAACGGGTCAATTGAGTCACTTTTGGGTTGATTGAGGTTGAACCCAAACATAATTCATTAATATTTTGTATTGACGGATCGTGTCATATAAAAATTTGTGCAAAAAATATTCAACACAAACCTATTTATTTATGTTGTGTTTGTGTCGAATTATTGTATTGTATTAAAAATTGTTACCCTTGCTCATATGTAATACGTTCCACGTGAATTCACAATAAATAATCCACCCGCAAGAAAAACATGAAAAAAATGTGTTAAAAATAATCTCAAAAAATAATTTGGATCCCCCAACGAACAGAGCTCCTTGAAAGAGCGGGTCTCAGTAACTTGTTTTAATGAGGCTCATTGATACAAGGATTCTTGCTCATTTAGAATCTCTGGCAATACTCCTCCCTCAAAACATAGACCTAATTTCTATTAATTGATCTCTTCTTAACCTAATAGATTAGGCTCATAATATCATAGCACGGCCAAAATACAATGGACCCACACGACCTAACAAATTATATACTAGAGATAACCCGTATCTAAAAGTACAGTACAATGTAAATAATTTTAAGAAGAATATTAGTCGTCATTGAATGAGTCTATTTGATACTGTCGAATGAATTTCTTGAAATTTATCCTGTTCTATATTATAGATTCCACTATTCTATTTTTTTAAATATTTTCTAGAACATTATAGAGTTATTTATTCCCAAAAACTCTGGGATTTCCAAATCCTTCAATATAACAAGGAATAGTCAATTCCTTAAATTCCCTGACATTATATATACACTAACCACCCTCCACCTTCTTAAATTCCCTATATCCACCATTACGTTCTTCAACCTATAGTATCTTTGGCCTTACAGTTTCAACTTTTCTCTCCTGTTCACGTAAACAATCTCACACCATGTCTAGTAGTACTCCATCAGAGAACATGTTGAGATTGGAAATATCTGACAACGAGTTGTTCTTCGTCCACGAATCTATTGCAATTCAATTTGTAACTCTCAAGAACTTGATCGACGATAATAGTGCATCGAACACTATCCCACTATCCAATGTCGATGCCAAAACTATGATCATGGTAATGGAATACCTCAAGAAACACGAAATTTTCCAATGATGATCTCAAGAAGTTTGATTCTGAGTTTGTCGATAAATCAATGGAACAACATTTCGGTCTTGTATTAGCTGCAAATTATTTGGATATTAATAGTTTGCTAGATATAATTTGACAAAAGATTGCAGAAAATATCAAAGAATTACAACCCGAGGGGAATCGTAAAATTTTTAATATCGAAAACAATTTTACACCCGAAGAGGAAGCCGAAGTTCGCAAGCGAAATGAGTGGGCGTTTAATTGATTTGATTTGGTGGTATAATGATCCTTATCTAATTACAATAACTTATGTCCATACATGAAAAAAATAATAAAGAAATTAGTCATTCTATTTATGCTATACATGTTAATAAATAATAATAATAATTCATTAATTTCATGTAGATTTATTTTTAATCCTGTCATCGTGTTCAAAATTGACACGTAATTTATGTTCCAACGTTGTACGCAAACAGACTTTGACGAAAGCAAACATCAAAGGCCAAATGGCAGTTTGTACCCCTAAAAGATTAAAAAAAATTCAATTTACACTCTTAAAGTAAAGATAATTTATTTTAAATTATACTCTTTAATTAAATTAATTGATAGTAATGTGACCCTAATCATAACGTTCATTACAATTTTTATTAAATTAACAACCATGTGAGACGTACATGAAAAAGGAGAAGGGTCATAATGAAAAAGGTACCTAACGGGACACAGGGGACAGAGGTAAATACGGATGCATTACTCATTGAAGATTTTTTCACCAAAGAAATCATGATGAAAAAGCAACCTAGGAAGTTTGTCACCCCAAAATTCAAGCAATACGATGATAGCTCATATCCTGCAGATCACACCTGTTATTTTCACCACACCATGGCTCTCCAATGAGGACGTGCTGCATTAATGTGCAGAGCATTTGCAACCAACCTTTAAAAGGAGCGGCATTGGCCTAGCTCCATAGGCAGCAGCCACGGTCAATGAACTCATTCTCTCGACAGATTCATTAGCAGTCAAAGGCTCGGGAGAAGACTCGAGCCCATCAACACTCTTTTCAAGGGATTGTGCCCTCGAGCTCTTCGATCTCCTTTTCATGGGACTAAAATTCTTTTTTAATCTTGAATTAATTGTCTAGTAGCAATGACAACTAGTTATTCACCTAAAGCAAACGGTAACAATTTTTTGTTTTGAAATCAGACTAGCCAAAATGAAAGTAAAAGTTTCCTCTTGAGGTTTTTTAACTACTTTCAGAATTTTTCACAAAAAACGAAAAACCCTCTTCTCAATACAAACAGAAAGGCTACAAACGATAGGAGATGTTATTAAAGAGAATGTAAGCAGGAGGAGAGAGTTCATTGAGACATGGAAAATCAATTAAAGAAACCCAGTTGGTAAACAAGCTGTGAACTCAATTCATTGTTGGTCCCTTCTGAAAATGAACTGTCTGTGCTGGGATGGGACTAATTCTGGGCAATATACATTCAAATCACGGTATTATCAAAGACTTGTTCATACACTATCTTTTCCACCTTCCAGCACAATCTAATAAACAGGAAAAGACAATGAGCAACCGTATAAAATGTCTAAAAAGGGCAAAAAAAAAAAACCATGTGATTTGTTGATCCGCACCATTTACCTCTCTCATATATAAGCTCCAATAATCCCACTATAACAAAACTATTTCTCCCTCTTTCCACCAGAACAATAATATTTCTTCGGGGCCTCTCGTGAGAATGCAGGTGAACAAGTCTAATGTTACTTCTTACGACTTGATCCTGGTAAGTGCTCCCCATGTATTAGTTATCAGAACATGCAACTAAAACCAAGGAAGCGACGAATTATCAAGACATTTTGGTTTGAATCTGCCGGTGGATATGCACTAAAAACTCAACGTAGGAGAGGCCACTAGGAGTCTTGTCTTCTATCATATATGAGAGGAACAACAAGCCTGTAAACAAAGACAAAGGAAAAACTGAAGAGAAAACGTGCAAAAAACAAAAAACTATAAAATGACTACAAAGTAACAGTTAGCACACTAAAAATTTGTCAGTAGGGTCAAATGAAGAAAGCCCAGTCAATGTGCACATTAGCTATTGCTTACAGCATATGAAGCATTTGCGGTCAGAAAAAGTTATGTTGGCATGCAATCTACATATTCATTAATAAGAAGGCCTCCAACTTATAATCATTGTAAACAACTGCAAATACTAGTTTAACTTTTTTTTTTTGGTTGGGGGGAGGAAGCTTTTTTCAATTGACTAAAGATTGATTTCAGGAATCAGAAAATAAAACAAACAAAAATGATTGAAAAGTTTTTTTGAGCAAGTGATTTAGTAGGTTATGACAACCACTTAAAGATGAAATGGTTGAACCCTACATTACAATAAAAAGTTGTTATCCATCACTAACCTGATGAATCTCCTTTCTTGCACAACTTTAAGCTGAAAAAAAACAAGAAAGCAAACGATATATGCTAAGCAACCGCAAATTAAAGAAAACATATAAATGAAAAGTACGCAAGAATTCTCTTCAAGAATAATAAACTCCCGCAAAACATCAGTCATACCGGAGGTAGGAACATCTTTGTCGCCTGATCTCATTTATGACATCATTTAACTTCTTTGACAACGGATTGTCATATTGCTGCAATACAAACTGAGCAGACAAAAAAACAAGTTACAAGATCACAAGCTGAACAAAAGGGTAGCTATCCCAGAAAAATCATTTAATTGATCGATGCAAAATTCATATAAGTTCACATATCATTGACCAAAATGAAGGATAAATTACAACTGAGCACTCCAAGAAGAGTTCAAACTCTTTTTTGGCAGTTCTTTGCAAGAATGAGACAAGATCTTACTAATAATGGTTCTTCAATTAAGAAAACAATAAATGACAAGTGCAACAAACAGACAGGGTCCCAGGAAACAAAAAAATTGACTTGAAAATTAGGATGCTGAATCTGGACCAGAATCATTCAATTTCAGACTGAGAAAAGCCTTCTTGTAATGAAAATGGCAAGACAAGAATTTAAAGTAGACTTTAAATTAATGAATCCTTCAAGATTGGGGTCAGCCACTTGTACAAATATTGTTGAAGGCTTAAGTTTGTACCCGGTATTTCTCTCTCTCTAATGGGGATCACATTGGAGTATAGTTGTGAATTTTCAAACCACAAGTCATGCATTAAGATTCAAGTTTGGATGCTCAAAACTTAGCAACCGATAATTTGAAAGCATGTCGTTCCTAGACGAGAATTAAAGATGTCACAGGTCTTCCATTGCATGCCCCAGGAAAAAAGAAGGGGAATGGGGGAGGGGGGCAGAAGATGAAAAGGAAAGAAACAGAAATACAGTATTACCTGAGTTGGAATTTCATCAAATGAAGAAATGCCTAATAATTGCCGCATAATTTCAGGATCAACAGAGTTACCAATATAAATTAAGCAATCCATGCCATTCTCAAGAAGATATATCCCGTCATCATTCACATGTTCACTGGAAGGTGGAATAGCAGGAGGAATGAGAGATCCATCCATCTGTCATTCAGCAATAACATGCCAATGATGTAAGGAGCATATTAGGAATCATAGCTGCAGACCAACACAGTGCACCTCATACCTTTGAATTGAGGTCATGAAGCGATATCATCCGAGGGTACACCATTGGGATCACCAAAGGAGTAGGGAGGGGGGAAACATAACTGATCCAAAAGGATCGGTCGTCAATACGCCCATCAGAACGCAATCCAGTACTTTTAACCAAAGCTGAAAGAATGCAAAGCAATGCAATTAATCAATCCACAAACAGTAAGTTTCTGATAAGGAACTGATATAGTCTTTCCAAGACAGAACTTGTTCTTCTCTCTACAGAAGGGACACATAATGGTAGATGAGAACCAAGGAAGTAAGGTACAACCAAAAGAAGCATATATATAAGCTCACAATCGCTTAATTATCTAATGTCAAGTAGCAACCCATTAATCAATAAACCATTTGATTTGATATAAGTTTCAACTAGACCTGATGCTATTTGGTGGAAGGGCACAAAGGATTGGGTCTTTTCAGTGCAACTCCTACTACTCTTTACACTAGAGTGCTGTGTTTGGTATTCCTTGGAAAGTTTGTGGTCTTCAAGGATCCCTAAGAATGGTTTTTCTTGCTGGGTCATGGGATTCCGCTTCTACGCAATTCAGTTCATGAATAGAAGAAATTAGGGTAAATTTTATCCACAACTCTGTAGATAGGCCCATGTTCAACAACACACCCTGCCTTACATGAAATTTCACTCACACCTCCTGTCAGTATTTGTCGGCAGACGGAAGTAATGAAAATAGAGAGAGAGACCACCAACATCTCCCCCTCACTTGCCTCCCACAAACCACCACCCACCCCCATCACCCCACCACCAATCACGCAGAGTGAACCCCTGTCCTAATTGAAACCACTGCCTTCCAGCCACCTCACTGTCGAATCAAAGAAATTAACTAGGCAGGAAATCGGAGCACTAAACTGTGCCAAAATGTTAGCTTCAAGACCACTTAATCCCACAATAAGGGAAAGGATAATAGCTGTTGTAGCAAGCTAAAAATTCTGGTAAAAGTACGTCAATATCTGCAGATTGCTGAATACAACATGGATCAACCCTTTCACAAAACTCTACAGTTGCTCTAGCGAAGACTTCCCCTAGGCCCTTCATTTAGGATTTAGGTAAGGTCCATAATTATGTCACATGACACTCAAAATCTCCCATGATCTTTAAAATAGATGTTCACATACAGAACTGCCCTAATCTTATGCCCTAATCTTAATTCAAAACTGACTAATACAAGAAATGATGGTCGATTCCCACAGTACCTTTTGCTTATTCGCACCTCAAATTAAGAGTAAATACTTTTCAAACATAATGTCTTGTAGCCATTATCGTCATTAAAGCTCAACATAATTCCAAGACTACCCCCGACATACAAAATACATAGCCTTTTCACACTGGACTGAAACTTCACATGTTCAAGGGGTTACATGAATATGTTCATATACTTCTGAAAGCTCCTCAATTCTTTATGACATAAACTAAAACCCCCATGCACAGTGGGAGTACTAACCAAACTGAATGCCCTTGTCATATAAGGCAAAAATGAATGATATTGTTTACTAACAAAAGTTTCTGATTTAGAAAGGAAAGGAGACATAACAGAAGACAGAAGAAAAAAGAGGGAAGGGGACATGATCAAGCCCTCACAAGGATTAGAATAAGAAACATATAATTCTCCACAGAAACTAATCAACTGACATTTAACTCTGGCCAAAATAGAGACCACATGATATTTAACAGACCAAGTCTACTAAAACCAAAAGTAATGTCTTAACAAAACTTTATCGAAAACTATCCAAACACTCCTAATTTGATAAATACTCTTTATGTAATCCAATAAATAATTAGATTAATCCTAATAGATCCCAATTAGAAAAATAATACTAAACTAAACAGTAAATTACAAATCTTCTATTCAACTTCATTCAATTTCTTTTCAATCCCCATCAATTCTCCCCTGCTTAAAAAAAAACTCTTTCTCTGCAGAGTTGTGAAAGCAAAAGTATTCCCAGGGATTTTAAAAACAAGTTGCCTAACTACATTCTCAATTAGGATAGGATCACAACAATGCACTCTCTAGTAATCCTATATTGAAAATCACCATGAGACAAAACAATATCTCATTGCTTTACAACATTCAAAATCTGGTCCATACAGAATGAAAGAGATGAAGAAAGTAAAAAAACTGGTGTGCAAATATAACAACCATACTGTAGTAACATTTTTCGAAATTTGCTTAGCTTGTCTTAGCTTATCAGTAAGCAGTAACAATCAATCCAAGAAAAGGAGGAGAATTTTCAGGCTCATCATTCAATTAGACTAGAGCTAGTGATGGTGGTGGAGCTAGTGGTACAAGGAGTGATTCAACACCTCGTTCATTGACAGTTGTATGGACCCGCATGAGCATGCTAGCTTCACTCAAAGCATCAGTAGATTCACTAAATGGAACTGTACAGGCTCTTATTCATGGAACTAAGACAAAGAAATAAATAAGCTTCACCTC